ATTGTTTTAAACTACTAAATATTTTATTAGTTTAATATTCTGTAATTTTGCATAATTTTATGTGTTTGTTCACATTTTTGGTGTTTTTATATAAATTGATATAAATTATATATTTTTGTTATTATATTATATATTATAAAAGAAAAATAATAAAAAAATATATTGATGTCGGCATGCCGACATCAATTCACTCAACTGAATGCATATAGATGATATTAATATAATATTTATATTATTATAATTTGCTTATATATAATTACACAATGGGGGCTCAGTAGAAGGGAGGAAAAAAAGAGGGAGGAGTCTGAAGAAAAAAAAAAGGGGAAAAAAATAGTCAAAGAGGGAGAGGCTAAGAAAGAGAAAAAGAAAAAGAAAAAAGAGAGAAAAAAGAAAGGGGAGGCCCAGCAAAAGGAAAATGAGGAAATCAGGGAGAGAAAAAAAAAGGGAAGTGGGGCGAGAGAGTTTGAGAAGAGAGAGAGGGAAAATAAAATATTTTCTTTGATATTTTTATTTCCATTTCATCAATACACCATTCAAAAACCAACCACTAAAGCTGTAATTCCAAATTTTGGACTGAGAATTGAGAACGCATTCCACAGATTTGAGAGTAATCAAAAGAAATCTTGTGACTTAGAAAATTCATCATTTTCCCAAAAGGTGAGTTTTCGCAAATTTTCGTTTAATTTAAAAATGTGATATAATTTGTTTAAATACTTCATTTACTTCTTTTCATAACTTTTTTTTTATCGCTTTAATGGGATGGCTGCACCACCCGCATATCTGCCGTAATTTAAATATTGTATATAAACTATTGTAATTTATTACTTTAAATAATCTACCCCACCGGATGAATAGTAACCTCCGGCGGTGAATAGTAACCTCCTGCGGTGAATAGTACCTCCGGCTATTTAATTTTGCTCGCTTTCTATATCTTAATTTCAACACTATTGTATGCTATTTAGGGGACTGTTTAATTTATTTCAATAATTTACGTTTTAAATATCAAGTTTGTTTATACTAACCAATTAATCAGCTTCGCATAATCATCTCTGCAACCTCCCTCCATTCTTTGCTTATTTCGATTAAAAAGTTGTGAAAAATTAAGATTGTGGTTTAAGTATAAGAAAGGAACTCTTTCATGCTTAATGGTTTAATCTCTTTGGAGATTCACTACCAAAGGCATAAAACGTTTTATACTTAGGAGGTTCATTACCAAAGGTATAAAACGTTCTATGTTTAATGGTTTAATCTCTTTGGAGATTCACTACCAAAGGCATAAAACGTTTTATGTTTAAGAGGTTCATTACCAAAAGTATACAACGTTCTATGCTTACTGATTTAATCTCTTAGGGGATTTACTACCAAAAGCATAAAATGCTCTACACTTAACGATTTAAATTCTTTGGAGGTTCATTACCCCAAATGTATACATGTTCTTATACTAAAGCACAATCTTTTACTTTTCATTTCTCTTTATTCATCAATGTGTTAACTTTTAAGGGACTAATTGACCCTTGGAATCACCAAGGAAAGTGTCATTATCACTTATTAGCACGTTTGGATTTCAAGTCATTATCACTCAAGTTTGGGTTTTTCTACGTCATTATCACTCTTTTGAGTTTGACTAGTCTTTGTTGCACATCTTGAGTTTGACTTGGAATCCGTTATCGTGTGTAAATAAGTTTGACTCTTCCTTTGTAATTTCCCTCGAAGAAAATTTTCTCAGGTTAAGTTGATGCTTATTTCTCTTTGTTGCATTTTGGACTTAGTGGATGTAAATATCACTTTTGCACAAATAGGAGAAAAAATAAAGAAATGGAAAGGTAATAAAAAAAAGCTAATAAAATTGGTTAAAATTGGATTACAACTGACATAAAGAACCAATATGATTAATTGAATTCAGTCGGACGTTATACTGAGTTTATTGAGTCAGGGCTTATTGTAATAAATTAGACAACCACTTTCATTTATTATTCATTCGGTTTTGTAATAATTATTTATTCAGACATTTAGACATTCGGACCCTCCTTCGTGAGGACAAATATGTAATAAGTTGTATGTCTTCCAATCCCCATTCTTTCTCCCTTTTATTTCACTGCTTATGATGGTTAGGTTAGGGACATCATATTTTCAAATTAGCATTTCCATGACTTGCATCCATTCGTTTTGCATGCATAAAAGTTCAGCTCATCATATTATTCATATGTCAAATTCAAACTCTTTACTTGAATACATGCTCTATCACATGCCTTGAATTGGCTCGCATGCCATGCTAGTAGCCGAGCTTATTACTTGCACGTTGTATGTGTTGCATTAGCCATATCGCATTAATTAGGATCATGCATTTTTTCTAACTATTTACTTTCTTTTGACTTGCCTTCGGACATAAGGTAAGTTTTTATGCTTTAGCGTATTGCATAAGTGTGATTGCTGTCGTATCAAACATACTACCATGAGGCTAAATGCTTACTTGATATACTTGTTTGAATGCCTGTGGATGAAGGCTAATCACTTGAATTGGGATACTCTGATTCATGTATATATGAGATCACCATTTTCAGTGATACATATTCAAAACATTTTTTTCAAAACAAACATTTAATCAAATGTTCCAATTTTTCGTGAGATTAGTCTATACTTGTATGTTACATATAGAACAAGAGCATATACTGTACATAAAAACCAAATCATGATTAGTAGAGGCCGATCTTTGATCGGGTGAGTGGGGTGTGCAATTATTGACCTTCCCCTCTCATACCTAAGTTCTCAAACCAAGACACTTTGGTAACGATGGACTAATGGCCTTTGGCACAAGTCATGGATTTCCTAAATTTTCCAAAATAAATATTTAGGTGGCGACTCTGATATCTGGCAAAGCAATCCATTTTTTGGCATTTGATTCAAACATCGATTTTCCAAAAGAAATTGCCGGATTTGGACTCTTTCTGTGTTTTCACTGTTTCACATTGCACTTGTGAAATCAGAATCAGAACCAACACACAAGTGCAGTCCGAACTGTAAAGCTATTCATTCTTCTGAAAGGGAGCGCGAAAAGCCGAGCTACAGCGTCTCTTCCCTATTGAATCGTACCTGACACGTGCCATCAGGTCGCGTCGTTTCTGCGTGCGCCGCCTGACAGACACGTCGTCCTAGGCTCACTAATTGTAATTTTGCCGCCTTTTCGTGTTTTGATCAAAATCATCTCCCTCTCTCCGTCTTTTCACTTTTGCACCACCGTTTTCGCTCAAGCTCTCTCTCTCTCTCTAACTTTCTCTTCCAAATCCTCAATTTCTGTTTTCTCGAAGCTTTCTGCAATTACTCCGTTCACCTCCTCCGGTGAAGCTTTTGCTACTTTTCTCCCCTCATTTCCATCGTCTGACTCCGGCGTACTTCATACCGGCCTCATTTTCCTCGGTAAGTCATTGTTCCCCCATTTCTTTAGTTTTTGACTTATTTCAAAATTTGTTATGCTTATACACTGCTACTGTGATTCTATTCATGTTCTCAAATCTTCATCTGTGTTATAAATTTTGCCTTGCTTGCAATTTTTTTCTTGATATACACACGCACTCACATGTTGTTCATACACTTGATGTTCTATGTAAATTGCCACTGTCTTCAATTTGTGCACGTTTACATTTTATGTAATGTTCTTGAACCGCTTCTGGTTTTCTTGAGTCTGAATTATTGTTCTTATCTGTTTTCTTGTTGTGTTTTCCAGATTTCTGCCTTCAATTCTTGTTTTCATAGTCTTAGGTTTTGGTATTTGTTTTAGAACTCCAATCCTTAGGAAAAATTGAAACGAATTCCTCCTACATCTTGAAAACCCTTGCCCCAGCTTCTGTTTTGAGTTAAGCCGAGGTCCACTCAAACATAGACAAAACACTTCCTTCTGAAATCCAACACCCTACCCCTCTAGCTGACATCATGGGAATGTTTAAGTGGAGGGTAGACACTCCCACCAAACTAGAGTACTTTAGGTAGAAATTTGCCATCCCTGCCGATGTCCACCATAGGCTAGTAGGGGAGGAGGACTCCATCATGCCTGATGGGGACTCCATGTCTTTCCTTGTAGTAGCCTTTATAGAGTGTGGACTTAGATTCCCTCTTGACATCCTCTTTCGAGAAGTCCTTCACTATTATAAGCTTAATCTAATGCAACTAGCCATTAACTTTTATCGAGTCATAAATGGTATAATTGCCTTAGCCAAAAAAGAGAACGCTAGGATTACTCTAGCCAACATCCAGTACTGTTACACCATGTGCGGCCTGAAGTCAGAAAAGGGCTACATCTATTACCATAAGCCGAGATCCACAGAATACAAACTTGTCGTCGACCTTCCAGACTCCAACAAGGGTGTTGGAGACAATTATTTCATCATCTCGAGCAACTGGAAGTTCCCACCAGATGATGACCTTCACCTCTACCCCTTAAGTCGAACAGTGTTCAGAGAGGGGAGTGGTAAGAGCCAAGTGTCACTTTACTTGCTTTCAAGTCTTTATTATTTTGATATTTTTGTATGTTCTAATCCTCTATTTGTTTTTTACTTGTAGTCCTTCCTCAACCACCAAAAGACTTCCGTAAAACATTTTATCCTAGCAAGGATTTCAAGAAATTGTTAGGTTTGCCAGTTGACCAGCGGAAAGCCCCTCTGCTGCTCAACTACATCCTAACTTATAAATCTATACTACCCAACGTGCCGAAAAAAAGCAAGTCTCCTCCTTCTGCAACAACTCCTCAAGCCGAGTCATCATCAAGGCCAGACCAGGGATCAACCTTTGACCCAGCAGAACAACCATCAACCTCTGCTCCACAACTGATTCCACCCTCTTAATACCAACACCGACGTCGAGCTTCACTACTTACACCAGCAGGCAGAACTCGTAGCCGAAGACGCCGAAATGCCGAGACGTCCTTTTACGACCCATTCAACCCTCCAACTGCACTTCCAGCGATCCATTTTGGTCCTAGAGTCACTGTAGCCGTTACTACCGACGAGATGGGTCGCAAGAAGGTTGTTGCTGATGATCTTTTAGCTGACATCCCGAACATTGTCACAGTCCAATCTTCACTTTCCCAGTCTCAACCCAAACTGAAGCCAAAGAGGCTGAAGAAAGCCCAAGCCAAGACAACAGTGACTCAGATCGACTCTGAGGACACCTTGTCGATCTCAAAAATAGCTGAGGTAGAAAAAAAGTTCCTCTGCCGTCGAAAAGAGGCCCACCGAGGCCGAACCCTCTAAATCTACCAAGTCAAAGAAGCTGAGGTTGAGCTCAGCAGCCACCTCGGGTTCTCTTAAATCGAACGACCCTTGGGTCCCCTCCATCACAATTGAGGATAAGCTAGTCAGAGCCAGTGACAACACCTCTAATATCGAGGTCGGCGTTGTCCTCTCTACTGCGCTGCTCCTTCCCAATGACCTCAACCGAATGGCCGAGGTCAGTGAATATGAAAATTTTGCTTTGATGGTGTAGCATTCTGTACAGGTAAATCCCTAACACTTGGCGCTCTTAAATCTCTGTTTTCATACTTAATGATTTTACTAACTTGTTCCTTGCATTTCTTCTAGGAAATCCAGCATGCCCACTCCTTTGCGATGCAAGTAGAGGTAATGAAGAAGGAGCTAGTCCACAAGACCAAGAAGGCTGCTGGTTTGCTCAAGACCATAAATAAAGCCGAGGCTAAGATGAAAACATTGATAGATCAGGCCAAGGTAGCCAAACAAGCCCAAGGCGAGGCCGAGGAAAGGGCGGAGACTACTGACACTATCGCTGAGGTCCTTAAGGCCGAGAAGAAAGAGGCTGAGGCAAAAATGATCGAAGCCCAAGCCGAACTCCGAGATGCCCTGGCCACAAAAGCCGCCAAGATCAAAGCGGCGGACGAGAAGGCATATGCCGAGGGGGCAGCCGACGTCCGCGAGGACTACAAAAAACAAGTCAAAGAGGCATGCAACAAGGGTTTCTCCCTTGGTTAGATAGCTACTCTGAAGGAGTTGGCTGTTCCCGAGGACTCTCCTCTTAGAGATATAGGCCGACTTGTGCTACCATTTCCTCCCGCTTCAAGCCAATCTGAGGCTAAGGCTGGGAAGGAAGAAGAAGAGGAAGAAGGAGAGGAAGTTGAAGACGAAGAGGCCAAGGTGGCTGATGCTGGAGCTCTTGCTGGGGCCAAGTCCCCAACTCTGAATGAGCAAGTCCTAGACTTGACTCAGGATGAGGAGGACCGGGTTTCAAAAGGTCCCTTCCCCCAAAAGACAACATCTGAGGTGTCAATCGCCGAGAAGAGCATTGATCAAACTCTACAAGAGATTGACGCCGAGCTCAAGGCTAAGAAGGCTGTCGAGAAAAGTTCACAGTTGTCTTCTGAGGCTGAGACACATCTTGCCGCTGACACCGAGTAGTCTAGATACCAGTTGTTACTTCTTTACTTTGTATTTTCTGTTTTTGGAGTTTATTGTAACTTTTTGGACAATGCTTTAACTTTAATTTGGCCGGCGTGCCCTTTTGTATTTGAACAACTTCCTTATTTGAGTACAAGTCCTCCTTCTTGACTAAGTGTAGATACTTGTCTTTTCTTTTACTGTCTTGTATGATTCCATACTTAGAATAATTTGCATCTCTTCAAAGTACACCTTAACTGTGCAATTTTCTTGGGGTAAAATACTTCAGATATACCTGCTGACTGTTTATCTCGGCCATGGCTTAACACTTGAAAACATTTGTAAAAATATTTTCACAAGTGTTTATTTAAAACTTGCCACTTCACTTTCAATTATCAAGACTTCTGTCTTCAATTATCTCAAGGCTGGGTAATTTGGTCATCTTGGCAACCAGGAACGTACTTCTTTGCAATATTACCTCGGTGTATAAACTTGTAAATTTTTCTGAAATTTCAACAAGTGTTTAGGCCAACTCTAGCTTGTAAAATGTTTGACAAGCCTTCCTAGGCTTTTAAACTTTCTTTATCATTCTCCAGCTCTCTACCCCCTAATGTGAACTTAAATTTCACTTATGTTCACATTAAGCATGTACCTGTGATCTTGTCGCCGAGGTCAGATTCAAACACAGACTGGCCGATGTTATTAACCTTGGTTTCTCTGTTAATCTAACTGACATGTACTTAGTATCATTCAAAGTTTTAATTCTGTCGACACAGCAAATCTAGGTTAATCTAACTTAGTTCAACTCCATTATATGCAAGTATAATTTCAACTCTGCCATATAATGAGTCGAAGTTATTCGTCATGTTTCAATCAGAAACATTGCCAACTTAGTTCAACTCTATTATATGCAAGTATAATTCAACTCTGCCATATAATAAGTCTAAGTTATTCATCATGTTTCAATCAGAAATATCACCAACTTAGTTCAACTCTATTATATGCAAGTATAATTCAACTCTGCCATATAATAAGTCTAACTTATTCGTCATGTTTCAATCAGAAACAGCGCCTAAGGACTGGTCATTCGTTTTGCACAAGTTTGAAAAAATCGAGTTAAAATTTTATTATTACTTCGGCTAATAACAAAAGACTTAAAAATAAATAAATAAATCTAATGATAGAAAAACTTCAGGTTGCAGGTATTCCAAGGTCTTGGCAACTCTTTGCCGTCAATGTCTTCAAGCCGATATGCTCCATTGCCCAGGACCGAGGTGATTCTATAAGGTTCCTCCCAATTTGGGCCAAGCTTGCCCTCTCTGGGATCCTTTTTGTTGCCGACGACCTTTCTCGGGACAAGGTCCCCGACTTGAAACTCTCGTGGGTTGACCTTCTTATTGTAAGCCCTAGCAAGCTGCCGTTGGTATGCCCCCAGCTGAATTGCTGCTTTCTCCGTTCTTTCTTCTAATAGATCCAGATCTCGGGCCAAGAATGCCTCATTGGTCCCATTTTCTACTCCCTGGGCTCTGATCCCTGGGATGCCGACTTCTAGTGAAATAACTGCTTCTATGCCATAAGCCATGGTGAATGGGGACTCCCAAGTTGATCTTCTCGGCGTAGTCTGATATGTCTAAAGTACACTGGACAACTCATTCACCCACCTTCCCTTTGCTGCTTCCAGTCTCTTCTTAATCCCATCCAAGATAATTTTGTTGGATGCTTCTGCATGTCCATTGCTTTAAGGGAAGCTTGGAGTAGAGTAATAATTCTTGATTTTATACTTTACACAGAAGCTTTTGATCAGCTTGCTGTCAAACTATGTTCCATTGTCTGCTATTATTGCCCTTGGGATCCCAAACCTGGTGATGATGTTCTTCCATATGAAGCTCTTCATATCAACATCTCTAATCTTTGCAAGGGGTTCAGCTTCCACCCACTTGGTGAAGTAATCTGTTGCCACTAACAGGAACTTCCTTTGTCCAGTCGCTTGAGGCAGTTGCCTAACAAGATCCATACCCCATTGGGCAAATGGCCAAGGGCTGGATACTGGGTTTAAATCTGCTGCTGGTTGGTGTATCAAAGGTGCAAACCTCTGACACTTCTCACACTTTCTGACATAAGCTTCAGCATCTTTCTGCATGTAGGGCCACCAGTACCCCTGAGTAATGGCCCTATGAGCAAGTGACCTGCCCCTAGTGTGGCTTCCATATACTCCTTCATGTATTTCATACTGGAAGTCTTCAACTTGCGAAGAATGCACACACCTCAAAAGGGGACTAGTAAAAGATCTTCTGTAGAGATGTCCTTCTGCTGTCAAACTGAATCTTGCCGACTTCAGTCTGATCTTGTGTGCTTCTTTATGATTATCTGGTAGTTTCCCATCTCTAAGGAATACGATTATCGCATCCATCCAGCTTGGTCCCATCTCCACACACATTGCCTCATGCTCTGTGTTTAGTGGTTCTACACTTAGACCTGACAAGTAGTCAACCATTATTGTCCTTGTCTCTCCTGGTTTCATTGCACTAGCCAGGTTGGCCAAGGCATCAGCATGGCTGTTGTCATCTCGGCTAACTTGCTGTATTCGGTAATTTTGGAATAATGCTATCAGTCTGCCCACCTCTTTTGCATAGGCCATCATTCTTTCATCTTGAGCTGCATATTCGCCTGTTTCCTGGTTGACGATAAGCTGGGAATCACAAAAGACCACCATCTCGTCGGCTTCCATTACTACTGCCAACTTCAACCCTGCGATTAGTGCTTTATACTCTGCTTCATTGTTTGAGGCTTTAAACCCCAAACGAATGGATTGTTTCAGCATCTTCCCATCTGGCGATACTAGCACTACTCCTGCCCTCGCTCCTTGTTGGTTTGAACTTCTATCAAAAAACAGGCAGAAGGAGTCGCCGACGTAAATACTGCAGGGCCTGAGTTTCTCTTCTTTCCTCTGTTCTGTTATCCCCAAATAGGTTTTTCCTTGTTCACCTGGACATCGTATGCCCCGGCTTAATGGAGCCCGATGTATGATGGTGCCTGGTGTGAACTCAGCCACGAAGTCGGCCAAAACTTGGCCTTTGATTGTTGTTCTAGGTCTGAATTCCAGGTCATATTGGCCCAATACCACTGCCCATCTGGCTATCTTGCCTATCAGATCTCCTTGCTGCCAGGGACTTCAAAGGATGCTCAGTTAATACCACAATGTTGTGGGCTTGAAAGTAATGATTCAACTTCTTGGAGACCATTACTAAAGCCAGTGTTAGTTTCTCCAAGGGTAAGTATCTGGTCTCTGCATCTGCTAGGGTTTTACTCACGTAGTAAATTGCCCTTTGTTCTCAATTTTCTTCGCTGATTACCACTGCACTCACTGCATTCTCTGAAACTACCAAATATAAGAATAACTTTTCTCCAAGTACTAGATTTAAGAGAACTGGAGCGGTGGTCAAGTATTTCTTCAAGTCGGTCAAGGCGACTTCACACTCTTCTGTCCATAAGAAGTCTGTGGCTTTCTTTACCAAACTAAACAAAGGTTTGCATTTGTCAAAACTTCTACTTATGAACCTATTCAGGGCTGCAGCCCTTCCAGTTAACATCTGCACTTATTTTGCCGATGTTGGGCTCTTCAAGTCCAAGATGGCCTTGATCTGATCTGCGCTTGCCTCGAAGCCCTTTCTGGTAACCAAGTATCCCAGAAACTTTCCTGACCCAACTCCAAATGCACACTTAGAAGCATTGAGTCGCAGCCGAAATGTCTTTAGGATATCAAGGACTGTCTTCAGGTTGGCCAGATGATCCTCAAGTTCCTTGGTCTTCACGACCATGTCATCAATGTATACCTTCACTGTTTTACCTATTAGATTTCTGAACATCTTAGTTACCAATCTCTGGTAAGTTGCACCTGCATTTTTCAACCCAAAATGCATCACTTTGTAGCAATATAGCCCTTTTGGGGTGATAAATGCAGTCTTCTCCTCATCTAAGAGGTACATGGCTATCTGATGGTACCTCTTGTAAGCGTCCATGAAGCTCATCCTTCCATGTCCTGAGGTGGCATCCACTAATTGGTCAATTTTGGGGAGTGGGAAACTGTCTTTAAGACAAGCTTTATTCAGGCTGGTGAAGTCCACACAGACCCTTCACTTCCTATTCTTTTTCTTCACAACTACCGTGTTTGATAGCCATGTTGGGTAGTTTACCTCTTGAATGGTTCTGGCCTCCAGAAGTTTATCCATTTCCTCTTCTACTACCTCAACATGCATCAACATAGGCCTCCTTGCTCGCTGGATGACAGGTTTGGCCAACCTGTCCACATTCAGTTTATGGCAAGTGACCTCGGGGTCAATGCCAGACATCTCGTACGGTGTCCAGGCAAACACCTTAAGGTTTGCTCTCAAGAACGCCTCTAATTCCTTTTCCTCTTTCTCAGCCAAGCCTGAACCGAGAAGGAAGAAGTGTTCTTCATTCCCTTGCTGGACTAAGATCTTTTTCAGGGCTTTCTCACTTTTCTTAGCTGGTTTTTTGCCGACGTCCTCAAGGACCTCCATGTCCTCATCCTCAATCTCTGTCGTTTCTACTTCTTAGATGTTATAGGTGGACTTCATTGCTGCCATGGAGCAATTATGTGCCTGCACCTGATCCCCTCTGACTTCCTCAATTCGATGTTCTGTTGGGAACCGCAACAGCTGGTGCAATGTTGAAGGAACAACCTCCATTACATGCAGCCATGGCCTTCCCAAGATAGCATTGTAAGGGGAGGGGGTATCAATTATTGTGAACTCCATTTTCACCTTTTTAGTGCCAGCTTATACCTCCAAACTTATTGCTCCCAAGGGCCACATTGGCATTCCGTTGAACCCAACCATTAGGCCATTGGATTATTCCAGATCATCTTGGTGAAGGCCGAGCTCTTTGTAACACCTGACATACATGATGTCACAAGAGCTACCCTGGTCGATTAGAATTTTCTTTACCTAGCACTCTCCAATCTTGAGGGATATTACCAAGGCATTGTTGTGTGGATGCTG